CCCCCCCCCCCTTACTGTCTCTGCCATGTGAATTTATTTCATTTTGGAAAATGCAGGCACATTGGCACAATTTTGCCAATGCTTATGTTTTCGAATGGATCTATTATTCATACTCAACTTATGACTTACTTAAATTTTCCTGATCCCCCGTGTTATTCCAGTGTCCAAGTTGATCCAAAGAAGTGGGGTCTTTCAGGCAGCTTTCGTTATGCTTTGATTTCTTTTCTTGGTGGAGCATCATTTCTTCTCTTCCAGGACATAGATATTAGGCCGAACCTGTTGGCACTGCTGGGGCTGCCATTTTTGGACTCTATCCTCCTTGGTAGTACTTGTCTCGCTCAAATATCAAGCTATTGGCCACCATATAAGCGGTTGAGTCCTTGTACATGAAGCTGGACGTGGCTGATTGATATGCTCTACTAATATTGAATCATGTAGAACTCTGGTAATTTCTACCAATTATTCATATGCTATTTACTTGGAAAAGTAGTTCATGCATTTATGTTGATAAAAGTTCCTTGTACTCTACTGCAGCTTACCTCGTGGGTAGCCCAATTTGTGGAGTGATTTTGGATGCAATTGTTTTGCTATGGAAGTGGGGATATACAAGGGCAGGTAAGCAATCCTTTCATATGCATTTCAAACCATGGTCTGAATGTTAGGAATGCAAACAAAGTCTCATATTGGCTACAAAAGGGAGTGATCTAGATATATAAGTCAGAACAAGTATCTCCATAATCTATTTGGACAGAACAAAAAAACAAAATCATGAAGACTTGTCTAAAGTGGACGATATCAGATAGATGGAGGTTTTGTTGTCCTTAGCTATTGAAATGATGGTGGTAACTGAAAATATTTTGCATATGAGATATTCATGTGGGTTCTACATCAAGCAGATAGCTTTGTAGGTAAGGGATAGGAATACGATTAAGATAAACTCAATAATAGATCAGAGCAGGGTGGAAAATATGCTAAAAAATATAAAATCGATTAGAGAGTATAGTTAGACTTCCAATAGTTTGCGGCTGATGAACAACTTATCTCATAATTTGGATGGCTAAATGTAAAGTTGTAGCACCCGAGCTTAATAGGTACAAACGCTCCATTGCTTCCCTCCTTAAGATTAAAAAAAGAAATTATGAGATTTTATTGTAGGCCAAGGAGACCGAAACTCAAGTCGTTGAAGAAGGGAAAACATGCTCAGGATAGTTGTGGAGAAAGAAGAAAAAAAAAACGGTCAAAGTCAACCTAGGGACAAGATGGTCATTTTGCCCCCTACTACCTGAGGGTTCTTGACATGGAATCAGCCCAAGGAAAAGCTCTAATATCAAATGATATGGAATCAGCCCAAGGGCTCTAATACCAATGGTATGAAATCATTACAAAGAGAGTAAGATTCAGATTAGCTTATTGATCGAATATCTCAGCAAGAACACTTGTTCAAGATTCAAATCACTTTACAAGCAAGATCGATCATGTCTGGCTTGAATGATTTTTGTTGATTAGATATTTTAAGGTAAGAACACTTTTTTGAAATTCGAATCACCCCACAAGCAAGAAACAACCAACTAGATCACTCCCTTTACCTAAACTAGGTAGAATTGCAAATAAACTTAACCATCGGCTCAAGAAAGCACAAAAGTTTCTTTTATTATATTTTCCAAGTCTATCTTACAAAAATAAGATATGACATTATATATAGCTTCAAAATGAAATCTCTATGACCATAATTACCTATACTTTATGGCTGTAATTAGCCACTATGTAAATAAGCCTTAAAATGCATGAATTGAAATATCTTTCGATAATTTCAACCTCTTTTTCACATATTCATGGAAGTATATTGTAGGATTGATGTCTCTTGAGATAAAACGAAAAATAAAAAGGAAAAAGAGAAGGAGGCTAGGGTTTTAGAAGGGAGAAGAAAGAGGAAGCCAAAAACCACCCCAAATCGGAGTTCGGCCCAAGCCAAGAAAACTCCAAATAGGGACTCCTCTCGGTGCTAGAAGAGAGATTTGGGTGGTGGAGTCACTCTTTCCCATCAAGAAAACCAAAAACTCCTCAAGGTACGGTTATGACCTTTTCGTTATGGTTATTGGAAGAATTTCTTGAGAAATAGGCCTTGAATATGTGAAGCGATAACTAAAAGAGGATCCGCATAGGTTTCTTAGAAAATCGGACGGAAGTCAGATTGCAATCGGAGTTGGGGCGATTCAGTCAAGAAAATATAAAAATGAGTTTTTCATCACTTTGAACGTCTTTCATCGTGAGATTAAGTAAAAATTCTAAGAAAAATACATCGACGTAAGTGGACTAAAACTCTACTACTTTGGTGAAGAAACCAAGTGGATCCGAGTTGTTTTGCATTAAATTACACCTGGAAAATCGTAACACACGGAGAGAGAAGAGAACCGCCACTCGTCGCCCAACGCATGGAGGAGCGCAGTGGAGCCTGTGGGTGTCATGTGGCAGAAGACGGCTAGAGAAACACGTCCAGCCCGCTAGTCAACACGCGTCAGACGCATGGATCCAGGTCAGCCTGTTTCGACCCAAAGAACCACACGTGACCCGACGCCATGCAATCTAAATGCGAACGACCCCCACCACATCCAACCCGATCGTTCCTGACCTGTGACTGCACAAAGCTTCGGCTTAGCGACCTCCAGAGCACGTGGCCGACGCGTGCAGCGTGCATGAGTTCTCCAAATTCCTCGGTTTGCTAGTTTTTCGCTCGATACTGACTTTGTTCTTATGTGAATTAGGACCCCATCAAAAAAATTTCATAACTTTGGAACCTTCTTCGGTAAGAAGATCAAGCTCAGAAAGACATGTAACTATTTAAATTTTTCACGAGCAGTACTTGTAGGATTTGCTTGGATAAGCATGCATGCTATTAAACTATTGATGGACCACGACTCTCGTGGCTTTGCTTTGGGCATCCCCAAAAGGCCTCGTACCAATGGAGATAGTATTCCTCACTTATAAACCCATGATCTCTTCTACTAAATTAACCAATGTGGGACTCACTCTCAATAATCCTTTGAGCATGCGTGTTGATATGGTTAGGAATCACGACTCTCCACAGTGGTATGATATTGTTAGGAACATGACTTTGCTTTGTGCTTCCCTCAAAATGCCTCATACCAATGGAGATACCTCTCACTTATAAACCCATGATCTTCCACTACATTAACCAATGTGGGACTCACTCTCAATAATCCTCAACAATCCTCCCTTCGAACAAAGTACACTATAAGTCTCCCTTTAATCGAGGCTCTCACAATTCTTTGTTCAATATTTGAGAATTCTATTGACATGGTTAAGTTTAGGGTTGAGCATAAGCTCTCGTGGCTTTGCTTTGGGCATCCCCAAAAGGCCTCGTACCAATGGAGATAGTATTCCTCATTTATAAACTCATGATCTTCAACTAAATTAACCAATGTGGGACTCACTCTCAATAATCCTTAACAGATATTGCACGAACGGTTGCATGTTAACTCTAGTGTGTAATTGCCTGTATTTTCTTTCCTGTTGAGGTTAGGTTGAGAATAGGAAGAAACAACGAGCCTAGAGTAGGGCACTAAAGACTAATCAGGCTAGACAAAGATCTATAACAGGATGCCTCCATGAGACGGTGCAATTAGGATCACAAAAGGTGGCCAGTGGGCCCGTGCCCCAGTATTTCAGACCACGATAGCTTTGAGAGGTCTTGAGCGAGAACCCTGGAGAGGAGTGAATTCGTGTCTAAGCCATCAAGACCCGCCCTAGAAAACCTAGTAGGACACCACATTGACCATGGACGATCGAGGTAGCTCGTCGGGCTTGAGCAGTGTGAACAGTGTCACCAGAACCTCCACTTCCTTCTCTACTCCAATACCGTAGCGTCGAGGCTCTATTCTGATACCGGAATCGTCGAGCTAGGCTTAGCCGGATAGGGTAGTGTGATTCGTGCCTCGACCTAGTGGAGATAGCTAGGGTCTCCTGAACAGGACCTCTGGGCCGTATACCCATCCCTGAGCGGGGAGCGTGGAACCACATGGGTTGACCCAATAGCTGACCGGCACATAGGGGATCGCAATCTCCCGATTTTAGTGGTGGTATGGTTCCGTGGGAGGGTTGTCAGCTAACCTCCACGGATGATGTTTAGAGAGTTTTACAAATTCAGATCCAGCCATACTAACCTCAGCTTTACTTGTGAGGTCGTGCCTCCACTGATCATTCACTGCATAAGTAAGGCAAGCCACGTAAGTTATAGAAAAGAAGGATTGGAAAACTGGTCAAACCCCTAAGGGTGCGCTTTAGTTTAGAAACCGACTTGGATAGGCAAGAACCCAACTGTTCAAAAAGCATTGGAGCTTAGACCATACTTCCTAGAGCCCAAAATAAAGCCCGTGAATACAGGTTAAGGGTGCACAAAGAACCTATAAATAGGTTGCTTACATTTCGGGAGTTGTGAAGCCACAGAGGAGTGACCCTTTAGGAGTCTGTACAGTCATGCATAGTTACATCATACGTTTTGTACCCCATAACCTTCTCTTAAGAAATGTATATGGGGTATGAACATTTGTTTTGATTGAAACTCTTTCTTCTTAATTGCTAAATATTTTCCGTAAAATCTTCTTGCTTATCTCTTTTCTATGTGCTTTCATCGTAGTCTGTTGGTGCCACCGTTGATTCCGAGTCTTGAATTTTGGGGTGTGACAGAAGTGTTTGTTTCTGTACTACTGAGTGTTTTTACTTTGAATTTAGTTGGCAGGAAATTTGTGTTTTGGAATGAAAAAATGGGAAGCAACCCTGTGGAAGGACGTTTGGATGGTAGTTTGTTTGTGAGGTGATGACGTTAATTAGTTCCCTCCTTTGGAGAAGGATGCAAACAGTTCTCCAGTATTTTTGCTATTATGGAACTATAACTCTGAATAATAGCTGAAGTAGTGACATTTACATAATAACTAGCATGACTGCGTTCAGGTAATGCAGGGTAGTTTTTGCGGGCATTCCAGCTGAAGCTCTTGTTTGCGGGCAACACATGAAAAAAGTGTAACCTTTTTTCTGATACCTTGATTACAGTTTTTTATGTGTTGAACTCCTGGGGGAATCGGGAGAGAAGAAGCGAATTATACAAGGTAGAATCAGATTCCCAGCAAGCAAACAAGCCGGGCTCCACCCATCTCAGATTATTAAAGGTAGAATCAGTTTGGTTTCATCTTAGTCGTCCTTGAAGTTGGTCTTTTTAAGTCCCAACACTCCGTCCACGCCACTCAACAGCATCTCCAGTTCTTGATTCTCAATAATAATAATAATAAACCATAAACGGTCACTTTCAAGGACCAGAAAGAGAGGGTAAAGAAAAGGAAGAAGGGACTTAGGTAGGCTGCCCTGGGCATGTGGATTTCCTGGTCATCATTTTGTGCCTCTGCTGTGTAATGCCACTACCGAAAAGCCCTATGTTCATTTACGAATCACCTTATACTTTATGCTTTGCCTTTTTTTTTTTTTTAGCACTCAATTCCGTACCACTCTCACGAACCCAAACTTTATTTATTTTTTTATTTTTTATTTTTTACTTTTTGGGATAACAGTCATTGTTGCCCACGTCCGAAAGCACAAGGCTTTTGGAATAATTGAATGCCCATTTTGATTTCTTCTCCTTTGGTAAAACCGAATTATTATTATCTTTTTCTAATTAAAAAGAAAAGGCAGACTTTTCCTTAGCTTGGATGGCCACTACAGAATCATCCATTTTTTCTGCCTTGTCCTTTTGATTTCTTCGTCTTCCCTCATTATTTATTTATTTTTCTTTCTTTTTGCCCTTTTTAGGTAAATAATATTACCATCTTTTTCCCACTCAAATTCAAACTACAAATTTAATGAACTGCTCTTATCCACAAATTTATCTTCCAAACTATCTAACATCCGTCTACTGCCTCGTTGGCAAGCATACCCTTAATAATTCTAGTTTCTTTAAATACTAATTATAAATTAACCTTGAGTTGTGTTCATACAATTGTTAGTCATTAGTTGTTTCCTTCATCCAACAAAAATGTATTTCAATTTGGACCTAATTTATATAGCTTTTGTCTTCTTTTTTTTTTCCTTTCTAATTGTCTTTATTGCTCTAAAAATTTCACATGTACCTCAAATGTATCAACTCTATTATTAAAATCCAAAAACGATGTATAATTAAAAATGTATGTATATTATTTATAGAAAAAAAGAGTGATTGCTAGTTTTTCACATAGTTTATTCCATGTCTAAAATTAATTTCTTTTTCTATAAGAACTCAATTAAATAAATTATTACATGAAATAATAATAATAATAATAATAATAATAATTAATAATGAGAGGAGGGAAGGTGGCGTGAGTGATTGTACCAGCCAAGTACTCTTACCTGTACCTCCCCCACCATCCATCTCTCTCTTCTCCTCACCTTCTTTTTCCTTTTTCAATTTTAATATTATGCCTCCCAATCTCCAATCTCCAAGCTCACACCTCCTCCTCACTTCTATATATATTATTCCATTCTTCCCTCAATCTTCAACCTCTCTTTCATCTTCTTCAAATCAAACTCACTAATTCCCTCAAATTCATTCATATTCAAATCTCAATTTCCCTTTTCTCTCTGTTTCTATTCTTCATCAATCATCATGAAGCAGTTGATTCGCCGACTTTCTCGCGTTGCCGATTCCTCTCAGTACTGTCTTCTCCGCTCCGGCTCTCCCTCCTCCGCCTCCACCAACCTCCGCCGATCCTGTATTCTCCGTTCCACCACCGTGCCGCAAGGCCACGTTCCCGTTTACGTTGGCAAAGAGATGGAACGGTTCGTCGTGAGCGCTCAACTCCTAAACCACCCTGTTTTCGTCGAGCTCCTCGATAAATCCGCCCAAGAGTACGGTTACGAACAGAAAGGCGTTCTACATATTCCCTGTCATGTTCTTCTCTTTGAGCGCGTTCTCGAGGCTCTCAGCGTCGGTGATTACGATTCTCGCCGTCTTCAAGATCTTCTTTCAAATCTCTCTATCGAGTCATAGTCGCCCGAGACGGACGGACCTTTTTCCTCTTTTTTTTAGAGAGATTGTTCTTCATTTTTCTGTATATACTTTTCTGATTTTTATTTCTCATAGATCACTAGTATATCAAAGAGAGTGATTCAGGACAACAATTCTTAGCTTCTTTTTCTGGTTCCGATGTAAATCCACAAGGATATTACTACATTCTCCTGTTACGGACACAGCTTCTTCACCCGAATTTCGTGACCAATCAGTGAACTTCGTTTTTTATATTTCTTACATCGCCCTTCTCTTCTCAATCCTAACGCTGTTGAACTGGACTGGGGATCTTGACCATTTTTCATCCCTAAACTCCAAGATTTCGGGTGGATGTTGTAGTTTGGTGGTGATCAAAACTAACGAAGAGGAAACCTAAATTGCAATTCTCATTAGATTTTTAGTTTTTATTGCCTTCTGGATTCGCCAAAATCGAGGACATCGAAGGATCTTATTCAACAATTTGTGGCAAAAAAAGAAGCAAACAAAAGGAAAGGAAGCAGAGGCGAAGTAATATTCGCTAAAATTAAGAGAGAGATCCAGTCTCCGGCAATGAGCCGGCGAATGGGGGATTGTTCAAGAAAAATCTGCGATTGGGGCTAGAAGTTACCTGATAAATTAGTAATCAATATTCTTGTAGATATCGTGCTTGAGAATTGAAATTTACCCAACTAAAATGACATCCTTCCTTAAAAATATCCTTTCCGTGTCATCAGAATCTACAAGAATATTGTGTTTCTAACATTCTAATTTCATTAATTTCCTGACAATAAGCGATCATGGTGATAAGATAATAGGTTTTGAGATTGTTGTGACATCAATCCATTAAAAATCTTGGGGCTTACAATTATTGGTCGAGTTAGTTGAAATATTATAAAATGTGTGGTGGGAGGGAAGGAGGATCGTCCTTTTCAATTTGTGTTTCAGTGCTGGTTTGATCGCCCATCACTCTTTTAATTTTGCAAAACAAAACAAAAAGATTATGTATCTTCTTAATTCTAATTATTCATTTATGGAACTCTTCGCCCACTCTCTAAACTTTACCCATAATTAATGCAATTTGCATTTATCCACCAACCAAGATGCCCAACTATCCAAGTTTAGTTAACCCACTTCAGTTTGGTTCGGTTGGACCATTTAGTTCGACCATTTTTATTTGTTCCAACTTCTTAGGGCAATATGCTTCCATACCCCTGCTGCTATTTAAGCTATAATTTTATTATAAAAACTGAACAATGATGTACTAACTTAAAAATTATGGAGATTTTATTATCAATCTCACATAATTTAATCATTCAAAGTCCCAAGTTATTCCCGATCAACACCAATTGTTTGCAACCATAAGATGATCAAAGAGCCACCCAAATAGCTTTCGTTATTGACATTTTATTTTATTTTAGTGAAGAAAGTTGTAATGGGTCAAACTATACCAAGTGTTTAATATATGATATGATGAATAAATGGTCATCAAAATTATATTATAAGTCATGGATTCACACGTACACACACATTTGAAAAGAATAATGACGACTTGTAACGCATATGAGTCAAATTAAAGAAATAAAAACCCATATATTCTCTGCATTCACACACATAATCTTGTACACTTGTATTACAATATAGGATGGATTAAAGAACAAGCAAAAGAGTGAGAGAGTTGGAGAAAATGAATAATTGGATGAGGAGTCACATCGATTGTAACAAAAATAATGTAGAAGAGAGGAGAGGGCATTATTGGATTGGGGCACAAATAATGTAAACGTGCTTAGCTTCCAAACAAGTCACCTTAACAAGCAAAGGGAATTGATAGAGAGAAAATGTTTGGAAGCCACCAAAGTGATTATAAATATAATATGTTGAATAATTATGAGGGGAAAAAACTGCCAATAAAATCACGGATACTTATTTATTATAGTTTCAAAATGAAATCCCTTGATTTGCGCTGTTGTCTCACATGGCGGGTGTACTGTACAATTTGAAATTTATTTTTGATTAATCTTTGAAATTTAAAAATTACTGGTTGGTTCACGTATCATCTAGATCCAAGAAACGAGTATATTTGTCTCCCTCAATTTCGTGAAGGCCAAGGAATTTATGGCGAGGAAAATGGTATCGTTCAACAGCGAAACGATCTTCCAAGATCCGAGAGAACAGGCAAATACTACACAGAAACCCCATGTGGATTCTGTAGAGACTCACATGTCTTACATTTATTTTCTTCCATATATTTAAACCACAAATTTATGGCTTTTCTAGGGAAGAAAGTTAGCTCAACATTATTCAAAAAAATTAAAGTCGGGAATTGATTGACATGCCGTTGCTGTTGCTGTTGGTTGGACGATCTATTTAATGAGTTGTGTGTATGCTTGAAGACAATCATTAGGTGAAGACTCGGTGCCATAAGACAAAATTAGGACGACTTTTATCTCGGTTGGTTGTCATCTACACGGTCTCAATCAATAATATCTATCAACTTCTATTTTGATCCAATGGATGAAGCATGAACTACAAATACAAATAGATATCTATCTGCTGAAAATTCTTCTTTACCTGCTCAAGCTCAAGTTCCAAAGACTGCTTCTTGCGTATGCGTTTTAACTGAAGTCATGTTGCTGCGAATAGCAATTGAACCCAAATTTAGAACTTTCACAAATATCAAAAAATTTGGAGGGTCTGCAACAATTAATCAAATATTAATTCCTGGACTTTTTAGATTTTTTTTTATTTATTTTACCTTTTGTATTCTTCGTATAGCTGCAAAGACGAAGTGGCATGCTCCAATTTAGTCCTCAATCTTTCATTGTCCTTGATGTCCCGGAGAAGAGAGAATCTTGTATCAAGTTTTTCCTTCACTTCATTCTCGTCAATGGCGCTGCACATGTTAACTTTCCTGACGTTAAATTGTGGGATAAAAGACTCCTGTTCCAATGACAAGTCTCTGCGTGCCTGTTGGGGAGAAACAGTGGAGATGGATATACTTGATTTTGAGTACTTTCATGCTTGATATGCTAGCAGCCATAGTTGAGACATCTGGATGATAATGCTTCCCACAGAAGATTAAGTTCCCAAAGGACAGAAGCAAGGGAGTCACTCAATTTTGGATCAGAGGCATATTGCTGATATTTCTGCATATCAAGTAGATGTTTACGGGGACCAGGGCTGTAAATAGTCCATACATAACATGTTCTTGGTCAAACAACAGTACGAATCATGATAGCATTTTTCATAACTAAAAGGATTTCAGAAGCTTCTGATACCTGCCAACGACTCTGCGGATCCAAAACATAATGAGGAAGTAGCCAAATGCTTAATAAATGCAGCTGCCTTTTGCATGTCATGCCGTCTATCATCGCACAACATTATCTTCAAAGCTTTCACTAGTACTTCACCATGATCTCTGCGTGAAACTTGAATGTTACCTGTCACCCATTTGAAAAATAATAGAAATGATAAAAGGAAAAAGATAGCAGACAAGTAGAAATTGTAGGTATTGGCCCACCCTTGGTGATAAATTATCAGGATATACATGTAACAGGAATTCAAATTGCTTCATAGTAAGGACCCCAAAGCACCATCAGTGACTTTTCAAAAAGATTAGATTATCATATAACTTGTTGTAATGAAGAGCATAAATATTAAAACAAATGCTTGGAACAAGCATTAACGAGGCTTGGTTTTAGAGGAAACAGTAATTGGTACTCTGTTTCAGAGTTCCACACTAATCTCCCAGACCTGTACTCAAGTACAATATTGTATAGCTGAACAAAAAAAGTCTTGTAGATCAACATTCAAAGCATCCAGGATTTCCCTCATTACTTAAATGCCACAATGCAACACTGAAAACGCTCAGAGACGGTCAAACATTGCGACTGTTCCTCAGAAGAATTATCACCACCGGAAGCAAGCCTTTTAGATAATTCATAAGATCACCCATGAAAACTATATAGATGAGATGCGAGAATTTCTAATTCATTCAAAACCTAATCGGGTATATGCATGATGTGTGTATTTTCATGCTTTGTATTTTCTTTTACTTGAACTTGAGACCTATGTACTGCTGTGCACTGTTAGGTCACGTCCTAGTCAACTGAGCTAAGACTTGGCTTCTCCACAATATATCACCGTAGATGAACTTGGCTGGTGAGGAAATCTTGACAAAGAAAAATTGCCCAAGGAATTGTTGGAAGAAGAAAAATAGAAAAGGGCCGAATAAAATAAGATGAAGAATACGGAAGCTTTGGGATTTGACTGAAAAACACGGTTATTTGTTTCTCAGACTTATTTAAATAACTATTCTACTATAAAAATGGCCCAAATGGCCAATTAAATCTGGGTCACTCTGACATGTCACTCCCCTAACATGTAATCGTGTATGTCAAATGGTCAGCTAACTAATTTGTGTATGTCTATAACTAAAAATATGGCAATGTAGTCGTCTATGTCAAATGGTGAAAAGAAAAGATTCAACTAACTAATTTGAGTAAAAACGTGAAAAAACTAAATAAGTAAAACACAAATATATGCAACACAAATGTGCAAGCTTGACATGTAACTTACCTAGACATTAACGACTGCATTGTATAGCTTAAGATCCGGAAATATGTTTCACATACAGAAGAAAGTGTATCTGACTGTATCTCTCTTTGCTTCGTTACATCTGGAAGACAAAAGAAAAAAATAATAATAGACAATGTCAGAATTTAGTGCAACTTATTTTAGTTTGAATTAGTTATGGAATATATGATATTCGTAATCTTGAAGAATATATTAGAAGTTGAATTTGAATAGTAGTATATTTTATTTTATTAGGATTTAGTTAGTTTATATTTTCTTTCTATATATGATTTAGTATCTTGTATCCTATTTAAAGGTTGTGAATATCAATGAAGATTGAACATTCGATTCCAATTCTTTTTCTTATTTTTAAATCTGTATTCTTTCGTTGAGTAATAATAATATTTTCATATCTACTCACACTTTTGAGTGGAAGATATTGCGTCCGTTGGTATCAGAGCCAAGTTGGTACGGTTTGATATTATTACTCAACGAGATGAATAGTGAGAGTGCTTCTAAGGGTATAGCTATGGAAAAGCTGGTTGGCAATAACTATAGTTATTGGAAGTTATGCATGAAGCTTATCTTCAAGGACAAGATTTGTGGGATTTAATTGAAAGTGATGACACAGAAATTCCAGCCGATACTCCACATAATGCAAAATTACGCCAACAATGGAAGATCAAATGTGGAAAAGCCTTGTTTACCTTGCGGACTTTGATTAGCAAGGAGTATATTGATCATGTTCGTGATTTAAAGTCACCAAAGCAAGTATGAGATACACTTCAAAAGTTGTTCACTAAGAAAAATACCGCTCAACTGCAATTTCTAGAGAATGAACTAGCTATGGTAACTTAAGGTAATTTTTCTGTTGAAGAATATTTTTTTAAAGTGAAAAATCTGTGTTCTGAAATTTCAGAATTAGATGCTGAGGAGTCAGTGAGTGATGCTCGATTACGGCGTTATCTTATTCGTGGATTACGGAAAGAGTTTATGCCCTTTGTTTCCTCAATACAAGGGTGGGCAAATCAACCTACGGTAATTGAATTGGAGAATCTTCTTTCCAATCAGGAAGCCTTGATTAAGCAAATGACTAGCAGCACGAGTTTTCCCCAAAGTTAAAAGGTGTGTTGTATGTCAAAGA